TCTACACCAATAAATAAAAAGCTACATGTGGATTTCAGCATCACAACATTATAATCTCTAGGAAGAAAATGTATATTCATTATGAGCTTTGCTAAGACTACATTTAACAGTGTCATTAAATTATTAGTGCTTTTAAACTAAGATTAACTTTAAGTGAGCATTAGATGATGGCAAATGTCAATTAAAAGTAAAAATAAAAGAAATTAGCACATGCAATTATATATACATGACTGGCTGATGACCAATGCATATCTCATGCATACATCCCTATATAAAAAAGTGAATGACAAAGAATAGGGCTGGGTTTTGCCAACCACCTTATAATATTATACTCATCATGACACGTGTTATGATTCATACTATGAGGCATCATGATATCATAATTGGACTGCAGCAAATACACAAAAATGACCCAACTTGTCCAACAATTCAGTTTGTGTAAAAACTGTTTTTTTTTTTTTTAGATTTTATGTTTGTTTAGAAGACCTGTGTCTTCATTATGTAGACAAATAAAAAGAAGTGAATTCTAGGATCTAATATACTGATACAATATTGTGTTAAAAAGAATCAAAGCATATGATCATAGCACTGCTAGACAGTTAGTAGCAAGTGTGACGGGTCCAGCGTTTCTCAAAAGTTATGTAATTCATGACTGAACTCAAAAATGCAAACTAGATGCCATTGCAAATGTAAATGAGATGCCACTTGTTTTACTTGCATAGCTGCTCTTCTGTCCATACAGGACCAACTAGCTGAGTTATTAGCTCACTCGAGGTGCTCAGGTGTGGTCGGGTTGTGTTTACGTATACAGCTTGTACACATTCCAATAATAGAAACGGCCACAGTGAGTGTTTACACCAACAGAGAGAAAAGCTACAGGTCCAGATGGCCCCCTCTCTTCACGCTGGGTCTTCGGTGTGTGCAGCTATTTGAGTGAGAGCACTGGTCTAGAAACAGTTTTGACTTTCCTGAACCTGCCCTTCATGCGGTCAGAGTGAACTGAACCAAGCCATAGTGGCCATCACTAAAGATCACAGCCACACAGGAACTGATGTCATCGCACCTGCCTGCCCCCCAGCTGAAAGAGCAAATGGTCATGTGAGAGAGAGGTTAAGTAAGTCAGCTGACTGTTTCCACACTGCAAAGACTGATAGTTCGAATCATATTTCACCTAAAATTAAAAGAACGATATAGGGTCTGATATTTATATTTTGCTAAAAGAAAAATAAGCTTTTAATATATATATTTTTTCATTGTGACATTATTTGCATTATGATAACACACAATTAATTTACTGTAATGCAATGCAAAAATAAATAAATAAATAAAATAATTTATTGTACTGCCACTAATTTAGATATTAATTTATTCATATTTCAACTACATTATTTCAACTTATTTTTTAAAGAATCGTGTTTAACTGAAGTATTTGTGTTGAAAAACTACATTACCCAGGATGCTGTGAGAAAAATTCCAACAGTCAGAATCATGGTGAGCAAATTGCTAAAAGACCTTGGCAGGGAATGCCTACTCTCATGCACCATGAATTATGTAAATCAATTTGGCCTTGATTCGCTTTTAAAATAATGAAATGTCTGTATATATATATATATATGTATATATATATATATATATATATATACATATTTTGCACCAAACTTAAACTATATTGTTTCTATATATACACACAACAAAGCTCAATGAAAAATGTTAACATTTAATTAGATTATGCCATTCTTAATGTTTCATGGGGGTTCCTCATAAAAGCCATTGAAGTACAAAGTCTTGAATGTTTTGGTCCAATTTTCAAATACTTTTTTGCTTCAAATTAAAGTTTGTTATGTTGCGATTCACCTTGTAGGAAAAAAATCCTTTTGGAAACAAAACCATGGTAAAAGTGGGTAGCACTGTTTGGTGCAGCTACTGGTGCTGAAACATACAATGCTTCTTTTCTTTATGCAAAATACAAATTTTTTTTACTTTTAATTTTTGGTTGGAATGTGACCTGGACAAGTTTTCTAGATTTAGATTTGTCGTGTATCCTTTGGCTTCTAGCGAAACCTGCCTACACACTTTTCAAACAATGCTACTGCTCTTACGAAGGATTTCAAAACTGGTTGGTGATAATCAAACCTCTGGTAAGCCAAAACAAAGAAGCAAACAATGTGCAAGCTAGCAACTATTAACACACCTAATTTCCCATTGCATAGGGTGTATACACACATCCCTGCACCGCCCTGCTCTAGGGAAACTGTGTCATAACCAACAGCTGTTCGACTACACTCCGAACTCTCCCAGCTGACTGCAGCAGGCCTGCTCCAACGGGTTATTCCAGAACTCTGACAAAAATATGACATCATTTCTCCACAGAACATGTTTCCACATGGCCTTCACAACTCAAAGTTTCTGGATCTACAAGCAGCTTTCCACCTCATGACATCATGGATAAAAAAACTTCTATATTGCACAAACACAGAGCAAAAAGATATCTCAGGATGCACATCTGAATAATTTATACCATTAAGCGCTTTTATGAGATGGAATGGATTTTTAATCACGGTTAAGATCCAGCATTCTCTCTTAAAAAAGTGCTTAGATTATTAGACTAATAACCCACCCAATAAATTCTGTCACTCAGTTTCATGTTTTCCGAAATCTGTTTCCGAGACTTTCTGAAACAAATAAAATCCACTTTCATAGTAGCAGAATGAATAATCTTCAAAACCAATGTGTTTCACAAAAGAAACCGTGATATGGATTGGAATTATACTGTTGCGAGTAAGTGATGACAACATTTTTTGGGTCAGCTATGCCTTTAACAATCAAATCAAACTCATCAAAACAACCAAAGATCAGTGCTGAATCAATAATGTTGAGCAAAGATAAAAAAAAGAAAACGCGTTTGTTTACAGGCCAAACAAGAGATGTTTATTGGTGTCAACTCCAGACGAATTGATTTTCAGCCGCAATAGAGTCCAAAGGAAGCCACACGATCCTGTTACATGTCTGAGTTTATTGTGAGTGTCGCCCTAGTGCCAGAAACAAGAGAGAATCTCAGAATCCTTGCTAAAAAGAGAGCTCTTTAAAGAGATATTCCAAATAATATGGAACAAGTTTGGTGCATTGTTTTAAGTTCCAGTGTAAAGAGGAAAGAAAGCAAAAGAGCGCTAGTGGAAGTGAACAACCTGCTATTTCCATCAGTGGAACAGTATGTTCCAAATAACAATAGCACAGAAGGGATGTCATATCTACTCCATAACAGTCATTTGACGGTAATCAACTCTCACTCGAAGAGCCAGACAGACTAATGGCGCTTTTCCACTGCATGGTACGGCTCGGTATGGTTCACTTTTTGGGGGTTTTCCACTGGGTACAGTACTTGGTACTTTTTTTAGTACCACTTCGGTTGGGGTTCCAAGTGAACCGTACCGTTACCAAAACGTGACGTGTAAACTCTGCTGATCACGGATTGGCCGGAGAGAATCGTCACTACCTGCGTCACTGAACTTGCGACACAAACACAAAAGAACCGCTAGATTTAAATCAGCACAGCCAGCGAAGGATCGAATGCAACTGTTTTGAACAAGCGCACCTTTTTTTAATAACCAAAAAGTTTTGTTGTCTGTTGCGGAAGAACAGACGTTCCTCTCGTTGATAGCAGAGGAGGAGTCGTGGTAGTAGAGGCGGCGCAACTATAACGACATGTGAATAATCCCGCCCACTCTAAAGCAGTACCGAACTGCAGTGGAAACGCAAACCGTGCCGAGCCGAACCGTGCCGAGCCGGACCGAGCCGGACCGAGCCGAACCACGCAGTGGAAAAGCGCCACAAGAGGTCTCCAATCCATGAGGAGAAATCCAATAGAAGGAAATGACTCTGAAGGCACCTAAGGAATGCAACCAGCTCATTCCACTTTAAAGTTTATTTTTGTAACAAACTTGTGTTCCAACAAAATATATCTGGCTAGTCAGGCCTGTTTGTTGGCTTTTGTAAATTGGCAGTGGCAGTATGGCAAACCACAGTCACAGGGGCCAAATTACATCCAAACATGTTTTCAGCCTGTCCAAACATGGAAGCTTAGAAGAGTACAGCAGTTAGATGGTCCATCACCTAGACATATCTTAAAATGTGCAGTTACTTAAAAAAAAAGTACCCTTTGAGGGTGGTATGCGACACATTTCTTACCTTTTTTATCTGAAAGAAGAGGGACAAAGTGTTGACATGCCTGGGGGAGTGAGTGAGGACAGGTAATGTCATGCAAATCTAGGCTGAATGCCTGGTCACTAGAGTAACTCTACTCACTTTTTCAGCTGTTCACTCCGGAGTTATTTCTTTCCAAAGAATGAATAAATCAGATGAGTAACTGACATAATGGTTTTGCTTTAACAGACCTAAACCCCATAAAACAAACGTGTACCCAACAAAGCCCATATCCAACTAAAACATATGTAGCCAAACAAAACACACATGTACACAACAAAAAGACAAATCTGTACCCAAAATAAACCCAAATACTCAACACAAAAAAAACATGTACCTAACAAAAAAAGTGACCAAAACAAACCCATACCCCAACAAAAACAAACTATACCCAACGAAATTAAATCTGTGCCTCCCAAAAACATCAACACGTAACATAAAGTAACGTGTATGTACAATAGCGTTACAGTAAATGTAGTGAATATAGAGCACGCTCTTATATAATAGAGTGGACAATTCTAAAGAGTGTGAAGAGTAGTGTGTATGTCAGCGAAAAAAAAAACACAAACACAACATACAGCACACACACAGCTGATCTAGGACGCTTTGTTCCCTTCAGAGAGCGACAACCAAAGCGTTAAAAGCGACAAAAAGACAGTGTTGCAATATATCATCTGAACATTATCAAAGCACATGCATGAAACAATGAACCAAACACACTGCAGCGCCGTGACGTCACGAGCCACAGACCGATGACATTCAAACACTCATGTAATCACGCATTTTCTTTTCGATTTTACCTCTGTCAGGTTTCATGTTGGTCACAGACACCGTGATCCCCTCCAGGATGCCTGCGGTCCGTCTTCTGTCTTCAGATCTTTCTTTAGACTTTAAAACTAGTCCCTTAGACATCGGCTAGCTATCGATCTGGCACACAGCCATTCGGATATTAATGATCTGAGAGCTGTAAGACCAAACGTAGATCTACACGCGACTGTATGTTAAAGTCCAGCGGTCTGATGAACTAGTCCATCAAAACACCACCAGCGTTCTACCTAAATAAGCATGCAATGAGCATCTCTCGTCTCGATCTAGCTAAATATCCCAAACCTCCGCCGCCTGTCGCCCCATTGCCGAATCCAAACGAGCTCCAGTGCCAACACTCCAGTCTCTCAAGTGCCACTGATCTGCTCAAATTAAAGCCACATGAGACGCATCGGGATCCCCTGGATCATCCTCACCAAACCTACGGACAGGCAGATCAGACACTACCAAAGAACCCCCAACATCATCTCCTCCTGGAGAAATGTTACGTGGCTGTGATGAGTCTGACTTCAGCCGACAAGAAGTGGCTCATAGCTCTAAACCCCCTTTTCGACCTCTGGATCATAAACCCTCCCCATAAAAACACTGGAGACGGAAGGACTAAATGAACTAGTTCAGCAAACTATCTACACGAAGCGACTGCCAAAACCTAGCGATGACAAACCCCAAACCTAAGTGTTCGAGCTGTCTAAACGATATCTCGGAGATTAAATGATCAGCAGGGACAAAGCTCACGTTCTCCCTCTCTCTCTCTCTTTGCTTGTCAAAACAAATGCAGGAGGACAGCCTCTAAGTCATGTGTCCCAACAACAGCTCGTCCCGCCCCCAGGCTAGACGTCACTTCCGCCCCGCGGCACTACGCTTGAACTCGTTACCGCAGCAACGCGTGAACTCAACCCACTTATCTTAACACTTTTAGCTTTATCGCGTCTATCGTGGTCCACTTTTGTTCATGTCTGAAATGTGTTTTAATGCTAAATGTGGCTATTCTGGATTAACCCGTAAAGCATGACATATAAAATAAAAGTCAGATAATTGAACCGGTATTGAAGTCAGTTTATTGTACCTTTACACAAAATAGAAATAAAATCTATCTATCTATCTATCTATCTATCTATCTATCTATCTATGTATCTATCTGTCTGTCTGTCTGTCTGTCTGTCTGTCTATCTATCCTATAGATATAGACTTTTATGGCCCAGGCCTATGATATAGGCTAGTGAGAATACCCTTTCAAAAAAAGAGGTAGGACTAAATTTATTACGAAAATTGAAGTATACTTTCAAAGCAAAGTATAATATCAATGTAGCTTGGGACTAAAATGTTTAGAAAAGTATACTTGTGTACGTTACAATAGTACATTTTGAGGACACAACTGGTAGGATACATCTGCGCTTCTTGTAACTATACTGCTAGTGAACGTTAATTTACTAGTTTTTGTCTTTTTACTTTTTAGTTTAATATACTTTTTAGTTTTTATATCACAAGTGTAGGCTATTGCAATTTTTCTTGAACCTAAAATCATACCTATAGTTTACTATTTATATATAATTTTTGCACTTTAAGTATGTCTACCCATCCTCTAAACCAGCATTTCAGGTCAGGGAGTCCTTGGATGGATGGCAAAGTCCATCACAGAGGCGCTTGCAGATAGAACTGACCACAGGGAACATTCACCTGTTGTTCATGTACCACCTAATTTGTATTATGTGTTCAATAAAAATACCCAATACCCAAGCCAATACACTGACATTTTTCCCCAATGCATGCTTAAAGTGCAAAAATAATACGCACAACAAATAATAAACGTATTTGCATAAAGTTTAAATGTATCTGCATAAAGAAAAACTTACAGTTATACATGTTGAAATATGTATTAAATGTTACTGCACAATTTGTAAAGTATATACTGTGCAGATGTAAGATAGTGTCAAGTCAAGTGCATTGCATTGTGTCTTTCTCTCTCTCTCTCTCTCTTTTTGTAAGGGAAGCTATTTCACCAGCTTTATAGGCTTAAATAGCAAATTAGTTGTATAA